AAAAAAAAAAAAAAAAAAAAAAAGACTGGAGGCAGGTGGTGATACTTTGAAGAGGTTGTCCTGCAGCCACACCATTATTATTGCCCTGACTGGTTAAAAATGAGTCTGAGGAGTCCCATCAATTCATGGAAGTCCTTCTTCACAAAGCAGCGTGTCTAGAAACAGCAACAGAAAGGGTCGCACTGTGAAGTCGTTTAATTGCACAAAATATTGCATCAGACAATATGAATACTGGGATAGAGCAATGAAGAACCACATTATAGAGCAGTGGTTCTCAACTTTTTGAGACTCAAGACACCTGCTATTTTAAGGAGCGAGAATGCTGTGGTTAGGACCCAGGGCAACTGAATAAAGGCTAGCTTCAAGAAAGCAGGCAGCTGGGCATCCCTGTCACTGAGGGAGCTGCATTTCAAAAAAAAAAAAAAAAAAAAAAGTCAAAAGACTACTGGTTAGTACAGGCTGACTGTGGGAGAACTTGTACCCAGGAGGCCAGCTAGCTAAGAGGAAGTATCTGTCAGCAAAGAAAATGGCAGCAAGCTGCAGGCAGGGACCAGACCTGGGAGGTCAACTCACCCAGGGAGTGGAAACGGAGCAGGAAACTGCACCAGAGCAGATAGTGAGGCAGCCTAAAAGCAAACGGCTACAGACTGCTGAGCTAAGCCCTAGCTGGGAAAGCAGGCAGGTCAGCAGACACCTGTGGGGGAGGCTGCAGCATCAAATGACCTGATGAGCAGGGCTTAGGAGGCACATAAAGCCAGTGCCTGAAAGCAAACAGGTAGTCTGCCCCTTCAGGCTGCAGGAGAAGAAGCTTGTGGAAGGAATGCTACACGGGAATGCCTGGTGGACTGCTGAGCTGCCTTGAAGGTACCAGTAAGGTTCTGAGGTCTTGCCGGAGGGAGGGTGAGAATGTAGCCTGGAGCTTGGGGAAGCCTGGTGCATACAGCTAGTGAGCTAGGATTTATGTTCGCACCCAGTGTGAGGATAGTTTGAGTAACAGCCAGAGGGCTGTTGTACTGTTTAAACTGGAGGTTTGGGTGGGAATATGAGGGATGGTTTGAAGATCCCATTAGTATTCAAGGTGCACTTGACTGCCTTGAGCCCTGGCACCTTTGAAAGGATCTCAAGGCATCATAGAGTTCCATGGCACCCTGGTTGAGAATCATAATTATAGAGGATGTTGCACCAGCTTTTTTTTTTTTCTGTTTTAAGAAATTATTTTAACAGTACTGTTGAGGGTTCAGGGTAATTCACTCTACACAGTCTTTACTCCTTTTACAGGCTCCTTGTCCTTACTACTCTGGAGCAAGCTTCCCTTTACTACTGGAGCTAATCATAGTTTCATAGTAGCTAGGGTGAGGTGAGACCTGAACAGATCATCCAGCCTGACCCTCTGCCACAAGCAGGAATGAACGCTGAGTTCACAAGACTCCAGACAGGTGATCATCCAACCTCCTCTTGAATTTGCCCAAGGTAGGGGTGAGGACCACTTCCCTGGAAAATTGGTTCCAGATTCTGGCCCCCCTAACTGTAAAAAATTGCCTTCTGATCTCTAACCTAAACCTATTCTCCATCAGCTTATTACCATTGTTCCTACTCACCCCAGGTGGTGCTGGGGAGAAAAGGGCTCTACCTATTTGCTGTTGATCTCCCCTGATGAGTTTGTAGGCAGCCACCAGGTCCCCTCTCAGCCTCTTCTTGCTGAGGCTGAACAGGTTCAGGTCCCTCAGTCTCTTCTTGTAGGACCTGTCCTGCTGCCCTCTCACCAAGCAGGTGGCCCTCCTCTGAACCCTCTTCAGGTTGGCCACACCCCTTTTGAAGTGCGGCGCCCAGTACTGGACGCAGTAGTCCAACTGCGGCCTGACCAATGTCACACAGAGGGGGAGTATCGCCTCTCTGCACCAGCTTGAGATGCATCTTTGGATGCATGAC